CACTGCGTGTGTGGCGGTGGCGTTCATCCAAGTCTCGATGTCAGCAGCACGTCTATGACTCGCGCTGTTTCACACATCTGCGCTATGCATACACACGCGCAAACGCCACACACGACACACAGGAAACAACTTGGCTGAGCTATGTACTGAATGGCTGTGTCTCCGCCATCGCCGGTCTTCTTCAGCCTCCCGGCTATCAGGGTGGCGTAATCGAGCTGAATTCAGCGCAGTGGCGCCGGCGTGCTGTGAGATCACATGTCGGTGCCTCTTGACTTGGACGGCGCTCATAGACTTTGTCGATTTATGTTGGCTGATGCTGTTGTGTGTGTGTGTGTGTGAGTTCAGCTTAAAACTCTTTTTGACGACGTCAATATTAAACCCTTGGTTATCGTAATTGATCAGATCCATGGCTTCAGTTGCTTATCACCAGAAATTGCTCAACCTTACAGCAGTTCACAGAAATCACATGTTTTAAGGTCAACTTCTTTGGTGCCTGATTTGTAGAAAAATTTGCGTTGATTTCAGGAAGTGCGGAGATGTTGGTGAATGGTGTTGGTTTATGTCCCTTACCAGGCCACCGAAGTCACCTTCTTTAACCGTTCCTCGCCCACGCCTGTTAACTCACGGATGCCAGCCTAGCCCAATGCTGACGCAAGCATTTTATTTAGGATTATTGGTACACAAACATTTCGCATGTTGCGCTTATAATTCGTCCGTGTACGCCGAATTCCAGTCACGATGGAAGATGTCTTGCAGTTGACGTCGTAGAGTCGCCTCGCCGCTGGATCCAATTGTGTCATCTTCATAGTTAATGACTATGCCGGCACCACCAGTGTTGAGGAAGTAGTCTCCAGACCAATTGGAAGTCCCTGGAACAAGAATTACAGCTATCCATAAATACTTACAAACCTTAAGGAGCATTCGTTCCCCTAAACAAGTTTTACTTCTGTGTGGTGATTGGGACATTAAAATGCGTGACTTACCAATGTAGAGGGTCCGATCAGTGACCATGTATTTGTTGTGGTTTACACGGCTGAATGGAATGGACTCCTGTTCTGGCGTTGACGTAGGAACAACGAAGAACCTCTAGTAGAAAGTAAATCTACTGATAAGGCAAGAAGTAGCTACAATGTTGAAAGCACAGAAACGCATCCAATTTGTAACCTACGATTCGGAGATGTGCATTGTTAACGCCATTCAGGGCTCGCAAGGACCGCATGTAATTGTGCATTTTCGGTGAAGTGTGTCGCCAACGACTCACGAGGATCCGCACTTCAACCCCGTGCTCCATGGATGCTTGAACCAGCGCGTTGGTTAAGATGGGCCAATATCTACGCGCGAGGAGAGATGAAATCGTTTCAGGGTGTGGACTTGAATCGATCGACGTGGTCAGATCTGGTCTACATCCAAGCAAACTCACTTTTCCGGAGCCTCGGAGTACGTTCGAATGGCCGCTTCAAATTCCATCACAGAGACATAGATGAAGGAGCGGGCCTCACCAATCACATGCAAGATAGCCTCAAGGTCATCTTCTCGACCGGGTGGTTTAAACGGTGGTGGCGACATCTACAAATAGGCGATGACATCGCACTGCTATGTTATTACTACTTAACGTTTTTGAGGCCTCAATATGGTCGTAGCAACAGTGGGCTCGCAGTTGTCACGAACGCGAATTGGCTTGTCTAGGCAACCAGGCTTTAATTTACTTGCCAACGATAAACATTTAGCAGATTTCGCCGCCTAACAACAAACTCAGCACCCAATCAAAAGGCTGTTTAGGTTGAATTTTGCGGGAATCCAATATTCAAATCGACCAATCGCCATTACTGGATATATGGCGTTGTCGAAGAAGTTACGAGTGCAACCTACCGTCAAGTATACGCTAGCAGGAATTCCATTCAGCAAGAGCCGCATTGGGTTGGTTCGGTTGTAACGAGTTTTTAACTTTGAACTCCAGTGGATTGGAAGGACGGTGTCCGGTTCAGATGCAACCCTAAAAGCGCCAATTATTTTGGACAAGTCTGACACCAACGCCGGGCAGTCGTACAGCACAATTCCCATCTCCTTCACCTACCGAGAAAAGTATAACAACTGTATTAACATGACTACTTAATTGGCGTAAGTAGACGGTATCGATAGGCCACCTGAGTTAGGGAGCGCCAGTCCATGTTCGCGCTGCCGAGGTAACCATGTCTATCATCAACCGACCAGAGTTTGGCGTGCTGTACGCCGGACTGGAGGAGCCTCGCAACATCCAAATAACTCACAGTAGCCCCTTGAGAAAACAGCTATCGAGGGAGTTTGAATTACCTGCAGCGATGAGTTGGTCCAAGTCGTTGTCCGTGACATTGGCACCACTGGTTACAATGCTAACGTTAAGCTTTTCACTCGCATTCAACAAACTCCGGAATACAAATTCGCCCTGCGAAACAAAAAAGGCTTACAGGCTTAGTCCATTGGGAGCTACACATCTGCAAACCCATTCGCTGACCTGGTATGCAGAGGTTGAATTGTAGACATCTTCACGCAGCATCGACCAATAGAAAGACGCGATCGAGACGTTGTCGCGCGCCAAGTCGAGTAGCATGCACCAGGCCAAGAAAGTCGAAATGTGATTGGGTGATCCCTGAGGGTAGATGACACCCTCGGGGATGCTCTCAGTCAGGCTGGCCGAGCACAAGTCCAGCCCGACGTGGTGCCTTTGACGGACCGGCTGTCGAAAGAGAAGGCGGCGTTGACGCCACAATGAGGCTGATGAAGTGCACGAGCAAATAAGCGTCAAGACGAGCAGCGTGATGAGGTGTTTCATCTGAAAGGCGGAGGTGGACGTCTAATAAAGTGTCCAGTGTAAGCTATTTTGTCTGCGGTGGGATGACGAATATCATTGGAGCGATTTGATTGGACACCTTGAAAGCGAGCGTCCACGTGATCACACGCCGCACTTCGGCAGCGCGTAAAATGGTGTTTTAAAAAAATACGAGATAAAGGAAAACCCGGTGAACGAGACAGAATATCTGTTTTTGGAAGAGATTGGTGACAAGGAGCTTCTCACGGGCAAGAAATTTACCCTAGAACAGGGGAGTGGTGTGAGGTGCACCCCGGCTGGCAATTAAACCGATGTGTTGTGGACACAAAGCTCCCATTATAAACGCCCCCATGACTCATGCTCCCTTGCGGTGACGCATACGCCAGACGCGGTTGGGGACAGCCAGATTCTGTGCTCCACTTAAAAACACCAGAATCCTCATCGATTTCGGTCTCCGTGTTTTTCGCCGAATACGTGATGTAGGATCGAGACACAAAGACAATGGAACGGGGCCTTTAACGGCTTTTATTACACACCAATTCTGCAATTTTCGCATTAGTTATGAGAAGGTAAATCGTGATTTCTGCTGGTTTAAACGAACTGAGTTTTCTCGAGTTAAGGACGGTAGATATTTGATTTCTTAAAAGAATACCTTTTAATTCCCAGAACCTTTTACCGCATTGTCGTAATAACTACAAGGAAACTGGACTCACGTCAAGCAGCTGGACACCAGACGTAAAAAATAACGCATTTTGGGACCTGCTTGTCGGTTTGTAAACATTCCTTATTACTAGCCAATCAAATATCACTTAGGTCTGGGACTTACCAATAGGATTAAAGCTTTCCTCTAATTGGGTAACCGCGAGGAATTCTCAAGGTCACCTATGCGCGTAACATGTTTGCACTCTCCAATTGTACTAAGGTGAATGTCGAACAACCGTGTTATTCGTGTAATTTAAAGTTCAGTAAGTGCTGGCGATGAAATACCCACTCTTAATGATTTTTGGCCTCTTAAAAGTACAGTATAGAATGCCTCCAAAACTACTTTTCCGATGCTGCAATAATGGTTCACTCGCGTAATGACGTAGCTAAGTTTGATTTTTTAATTTCCTATGATTATTTAAATGCAAATATTTGGATCTTCAATATCGATTACGACTTGTGACAATCAGCGCGGGAATGTGGTACCAGATCCAATCGAACATAGTATTAATCGATTGTTTTGAATCCCATTTGCACTTCACGTGGCACATGATTCAACGCCCAATTCAAGTGAGATTTACCACAAAAAATATCGATTGGGCCCTTGAAAAGAAGCTGTCAATTGGCAGGGTCAGCCAAAATCGATAAAGTTTGACAAAATCCACGTTTGAAAAATAAATGTTCCAATTGACAAGCCCAGGGAATTTAGGACAAGAACATACCAGGAAGTGAGGTGTACAAATTGGGGGCTACGTCAGGAACACATAACAGCAGCCTTGAGAAATCTAGGAACACTTTAACGCGTTTTACCCTAATCTAAATTATTTATACATTCGTTCACTCACAATCATTTTGGACTTTCTTAACCTTAAAAAAAGACAAACAAGGATGCATTATTTGAATCTGCCAAAATCCACAGTGATTCGAAATTGGTCCCAATGTCACGCAGGCGTGGAATGATTATAAATAAAACAGGCTTCTCGTTTATTTGAACGATAGTATTTTCTTCATTAAATCTGTCATGAACACAATCTCTAGCTGATTGATCATCCCATTGGTTCATTGCCACATTGACTGTGTCCACCGTTATGGTGACTGCATGATCAATAGTCCGTCAGTTCACTAAAACAAAAAAAGCTTTGTCCATGTGGAACCTTCCTTGTCTCTACGCGGGCTGTTTGTATTCATGGACATGCGTGGAATTGAGCACGATTCCAGGTAAACGTAGGCAGGCTTTGCAACTCAGGTTCCTTCGTATAATTTCCAAAACGAAACACAATCCAACAAGGGACAAAAGTCGAAAATGAACTTTTATTTATTTTGTTTATTTATTTATTTACGTGTATGCATCATCAGTGGTGCTCCCAGCGTGTGACAGGATGAAGCAGTTGGGAAGTTTGAGCAAAGGGGAGTCGGTGGGCAGAGGTTCGGGCACGGTGACGTCCAGACCCGCACCGAAGAGACCGCCTGCCTCAACGCCTTTCGTCAGTGCGCGGTACAGCGCCTCCTGGTCCACCATCGAGCCACGTGCTGTATTTATAAAAACGGCTCCCGGCTTCATTGTGTTGAACACCTTCAAGAAACACACAACGCATTCAATCCAGTTGACATGGCTTGTGCAATGCCCAGCACACCCTCACATACCTCCTCCGTGAAGACGCCCTTCGTTCCATCACCTAGTGATGCGCACACACACAGGAAATCTGACTCTCTGAGTAGCTCGTCAAATGGAACGGGTTCAGCCTCAACCGCAGTTCCATCAGCTTTGGTAAAAAGGAGGACAGGTTTGTATCCTTCCGGACGACGACCAGACGACGAGTAAATTATGCGTTTGGGAGAGAACGCAGCCAAACGGGTGGCGACGGCCTTGCCAATGCGACCAAGGCCGAAAATTCCAACAGTGGAATCGTTTAGACTTTCGCCACGAGCCCCAGTCCCCGGAAGTAGTCAAGCAATAAAATTATATCAACTCTAATTCAGTGAATATGTTCAGTTAATTGAGAATAATTAGCTTCGAGCACTCAGCGAGAAACTGTAAGAAGGGAAACGGTTAATTTTGCAGTTGCATTAGCAGGCGTTTGTCCCATCCGAACTTTTGTAACCTTCAGATCTTTGAGATAAAAACCAGTCGACATGGTGCTAAAAGTTTTGAGATTGTGACTAGCGGCATTTAATAGCTAAGAATCAACCTTCATAGAGGAGCCTTAATATCTCGTATGAGTTCGAGAAATTTTATCGTACAGAAATCCCAAATCTGGTTCAAATCCCGTATTAAATGCCAGCCTCATCCAAATGCTATTAAAAGTTATCAGATAGCCAAGTTGTGATATACATGCCCTTTAAATAAATTAATTAATACACGTATATAAGGCAATCAAAAACATAAAACAACAAAGATCGAATGATATGAAGAAGACGAGATCTTAATAAAATTAGTTGTAGTAAGAAATTGGCAAGTTAGTGTAATAAGACGCTAGGTTAAGTAGGAAAGCCCTACATTTAATCCACAGTTAAATGTCACTACTTAAACTAAATTAAAGATTACCGAATGGTTTTACTTTTGCTCATTTGAGGTTAGAATTTGTGTCTGCCGGTATCCGGCAATTAAAACCTACTACTTTGGGGATTTTTTCTTGGGCTTGGCTCATCCTGGTTGGATTTTATTGATGCTCATGAACAACTTTTATAGGCCGTGCTAGGAAGTGAGTTCAACATTAGAAGTTAGTCTAATGTTGGGATGACAAAATCACACTGACAGATGGGAATTTGGTTGGTGAATATCGGAAAAGCATTTCAGAAATTTCTTCTATACGATAGTGCAGAAATAATCAACCGATGCAAATTAAACCTTTTAGAGCTTCAAAGAAACACAAACCGAAGTTACCACCTACCTAAACCGATTAGAGAATAAAGAACCAAGTAGTTTTAATTAAGTAAAACTCAACTTCAAATGCAATAGAATACTTCCCAAAGGAACCAAGAAATAAATGTCTAAATTTTCAAAATCGTAGTCGAGGCTCGAGAAAAACCTTAAATGTAGATATTTGTACAACGGTTTTTCATACACGACTTCTGGCAATATTGATTTCCTTGTTTGTGTCCTACAATTATTGCATCCAAATTAAAAAAGAACCTTCATAATGCCGTTAAAGGGTCAAAAAAAAATTTAAAACAAGAACAGAATCAAAGTTGTAAGAAAACATTGCATCCATGTAATGGCCCTGTAACGTCCAAAATGTACAGTGTCTTAAAGTTAAATTGCATTTGAGTCACTTGCCTGCAATTCCTTGTCAGCCACAAAAAAATAGATGCACACGCAAACATTTTATTAGGTTTAAGTGAACCCTACCATTCTTTTATGATGACACCCTATGACTGAATATTCCTGCTGCAGACACAATCAAGCTAAAATACCTACAGGATTATGAAAACCAGCAGACATATATTTGTCATTCTTTATTGGGCTGCGTTGCATCGTGTCGAGACAGCAACAATAATTAAGTTTGCCAGGTGTGAAAGTAGGACCCATTTCGATCTACTTCAGCAATACAAACAAAATGTATTAAAAATGGCTGAAATTTTTGTGTTGGGGTCTGAAATAATGTGCTCAATTGACCATAAAGCAGATGCCTCTTTGTATTTGCAATGTAATTTAGTATTTGTATAAGTAAAAAACTCAAATACATTTTCACGCAACTAACAATTCGTACTTCATTATCAGTGTTAGTCAGCGATATGACTCCAAATATCAGGGGAATACCGTTGTAAGATAGTTTGAATTGGTTATGTGTTTCACATGACAGTGTTGTCAGGCCGAATGTTTGTTACACATGACTGACTCTTTTTTCAATACAATGCTATTAATTGTCAGCATTTGTGCTTTTTACTTGTTAAAAAGTGGTTTGAGTTTGGCGATTACATATTTATTTATTATTCTAAATTCGGCACTTTAAATGTTACTTAAAAGAATCGGTCACGCATCTATATGTCAATTAAGTATCAAAAATATTTTATTGATTTGTTTTACCGATTTTTAATTGCAAATTTTTTATCACTAGGCTTCTATTTGCAAACCCACTGCCATGTGTTAATGTATGTCATTAAAAGGACCGGGTTGCCCAATATTCTGAGTAGCACCAATAGAGACCAAGTTGTCATGCTTCTGCATCGCTTTCTTCCCCTAACATTTATTCGGGGGAGTTTGCATACGTCTACAGTTCTTCACAAACAACCTGCCCATGACCGTCAGAGAAGACGTCGAAAAATAGTTCCACCATTTCATCAACAGCCATATTACGATGAAGATCCTCTAAAAAAAATAAAGCTGCACCATATATTTCCTAGTAATATTCCCGGATCTTGGGGATCAACTGATATTGCTACGAAAGAAAAGTTGTAAGTCACGTTTGCAAAAATATATGTGGCCGTCTTGTAGTTATAGTGCTCAGAGTTACATTTATTATCCCAGAAGTGTGTAATGTTTGAAGAAGCTACTCACAGCTCGATATTGATGAATGTTTCATTCAAAGTAGCGAAAATCTTTGAAAAATAATGCTGTTGTCAGTCAGTTTTGTATTTTTACTTTTAGTTTCAAAGTTGGACAAACGTTAGGAGCTCTTCCCTCTTTATATGATAAACTTGGAGAACTCTACTATCACGAGAACAATATGTGGTACCACCGAATAAACCTTCCACTTGACTGTACAGAAACACTGGAATTTTCTCAATACATTACTCGAACCACTCTTCGCCACCTAAAAGAAATTGAGGGTATTCACTCTTCAGCATCGAATGTTAATACTGTGCTTCGAAATCGGCTTCAAGAACTGGTGGCTTTGAGTTCCTTCGACCAGACAATGGCACCCAAGACGCGACAGCTATTTCTGAGCTCCTTTATGGAGTGCATACATGGGACACTAGCTGAATATTTCAGAAACTGTCATCTGTGTGACAGTTCTAATCAGTTGTGCACTGGTGCCAAAGTGGAAACTTTTTTTAAGCGAACAGGCTTTGCGGATATATATGATAATGAAAGGATTGGTAAAGAACGTTTGCTGGAGGACATTTGGGAACCAAATCAAGAGATTGTTCTCGATTCGGATGGCATGCTTCGGTTCAGAGTGTGCAGTAATTTAGCTTGGCTTATTCGATCGGTATCGCCACTCCCACCAGTATGTTTTGATCAACTGCCTAAATTCGATGAATTCCTTGGTTGAACCTTTGGGCTGTTCGTCTTCTTGCTGAATCATACATATATCTTTATAAATAATAATGTTTGCAAGGGGTTTTTTAAACCTAGCACGAAATTTGGGTCCTCGAACCTCTCACAAATTTCTTGTTGGAATTCTACATTTTTCTTTGCAACATTGTCCTTCAAGGAAACTAATTTTCTTAATTCGATTTTCGCTCTCCAAACACGTGCAAGAATTTTACCTAAGTTTTTCCTGTCCACATCACATTCTAAATAGAATCTCAACTGCTATTTTCTTGGCCGTGATATTCCCGCTTTTGTCTTTGAGGTGCAGCCACGTCTTGAGGTAAATCCTAGTAAAAACTAATACCTGCTACCAGTAGTCGTATTGGGACAAATCTTACCTTGCCCAAACGCACAAAGCGGGAGTATTTAAAGCTAATTTTCCCCAACCAGTGTGGTGCTCAGTTGGCGCCTTAGGAGATAACTCTCCATCTCACCTGCATAGTGTTTTTCGTCTTGTGCGTTTGCATGATTGAGGGATGTTAAAGCGTGAATTATCGGTTATCATTGGTTGACAGTTTGTTGCGCCGTCGGAAGCGGTCTGCTTCGAGAACACTCTTCCGCCAGACGGTCGCCTTTATCGCCCTGAGGTCTTCGATTTTGAACCGACCAATCATTATGAATTCAGCTGCCTGCCCTTCGTCGACAACGCCCGATCCCCAGAATACATTCGAACTGTCGCCGGTATGTCGACTGAAACACCTAATGACTGATTTTAATGTGTTTTAAAGTTAAGGTTGTTAGTTTGCAGATGGCGTATTGGGCGCTTACCCTCACTTTGTGTAAATTATTTTCGTTTACAATACATTGCGCGAACTGTCCCGTTACAAATTAAGTGATCTGCATTTCGCATTTTTAGTCTGGTCAACATAGGCCAAAGAAGGCTGACTTTGATATGCACACACAGAACGTCGTAACCAAGAGAAAGTCGAAAGGTATCGTTGGTTGGATTGATCATCAGTCATTTTAAGTTCCAATTGTGTGGTTCCTTGGTGCCTTTTCAAGCCTCGTTTGCGTCGTCAGAACGCCTCTTTTTCTAACATGGAGAAGACGTGTGCGCCTATAGGGCACGATTTCACGTTTCTTTTTGCTATTGATGACAAAAAACCAGGGTAATTGATTTTTGAGGGACCCACGCTTCCGCAGAATAGTCTGTTTGCTAACAAAACTTCACCATCCACTGTCTTTTTATTTACCGACTTTGTAGATGATTCTATTGTCAACTTAGAGCCATCACCTTGGACATTTAGAAACACGATACTCACTCGAATACGCATTTTTTAATTGTCAGCCGAGGTGTTAAATCTTAACGCTGAAATATACGACCTTTTAGCTTGATCATATTGTCCTTGTCACATGAAGCCAATTAGTTATTGAACAGCTGATGCGTGGATGGACACCCATCGTTTGCTCTCTCTCTCTCTCCTTCAAGGTTTCTGGCCTGACAGTCCGTTCTGGCCCGTCTCAGGAGGCGACCCCTGTCACTTCGGCCTGCTGGGTGTTCTCGACGTCACACCGACCAACCAATTGGCTCTGCTCTCTCCCGACGACCCAATCACCTCCAAGGTCATCGCTCGCAACTCCCTTTCACAGGGACTCCTCGCTGCCTTCGCGTTGTCCTCCGCCATGGCCTACAACCAAGGTATGTTAAGCTAGGTTCCAGGTTTGATGTCCTCCGACAATCGAGCTTGCCTATCGACCGACGATTTGGGATGTGTGTAATGGCGTCTTTGCCTAAGTCTAAATCGTTTGCCATGCGTTCTCGGAGCTGAAGGCCAGCCACGTCGACATATCGACTGTGTTCTCCGACATTGGGATATAAGCCACGTCTTGTAGGCCAGAATGTGTACTGTGGTTAATACACACCCAAATATCTCGACATGCCTAGTGTCTCACGTCAAGGCGTTTTGTCACGACAAATACCCTTCCATGTAGGTTCTTCAAATAAATGTTTGGTGTGCTTCATTGGTTTAACTTTGTTAACTGGAGTGTCTGATGGCTACGTGTGTTCCTTCAACCCATTTCAATGCGTCCATTGCTCATCGGCAAGTCATCATAGTAAAATATTGTGGCGTTGAAGGGATACTTGACAGGTGGTTGCTCAGCTGAAGTGGTCGCAGTGGGAAAGAAAAATATGCAATCCGTTGAGGAATAGTTGTATCCAGATGTGGAAGCTGAACTATTTTTTAAGGCTTTACCCTCTACAACGAAATTGACCGGCCCTTCACCACACAACTTCTGCTGTATAACGCTGTGGATCAGAGCTGGCAGCTGCTGGCTTACCAGTTGAACTCGCTTTGCGGTCTGTGGAAGGCGGAGGACGCGGGAGAGCCGCTCAACTTGGCCTGGCACTCGGAGCGCATTCCGATGTTTGAGAAACCCGGTGATATTCATAGGTATGTTGGTTTCAGTCGCCTAAAAGTGAGACTTACCAACGCACCGCTGCGACACCAGCATTTTGACCGTTGTTTTGTCTAATGCCCTAGCCGCCTCAACGTCGAGGCAGTCGCTCTCATCTCGAGTGCGATGATGCGAGCCCCCGAAGAGCGCGCCGACACGCAGTCGCCCCGCCGTCTCATCCCCGACTCCGTGAGTGAGGAGGAGTTGCGCGCCGAGGTCCACGCCGAAGGTGTCCTCACAGCCGCCGAACACGACGCCCTCCTTGCTGCTGAGAGCGATGAAGTCGCGAAGAGAAATCTGCCTTTGCGGGTGTTTCCCAAACCAACACCTCACCCGAATGAAGTCTTCTTCCTTAAGGTGGGCGTCTTTCGGTTCTGTGCGACGTTGCTGTCGAATTGGCCAGTTTGCTTTGTGGTTACCACGCATGCGATTCAAGCTAGAACCATGTCGTTTGTCGACACAAACCAGTTGATTCGTAGATTAAGTCATTGCTTCTTCGGTATACGATATCCACACTGTAGGTGTAAGTTTTACCACGTGGATGCAGTCCTCACTAGCGCCTGTCCCACCCACAGCGGATGTGAACGCGATCGCTCGATCTGGAACCATCACCTCACATTCAATCGACTTGCGTCCGAAAGTTTTGTCATATTATGCGTTATCTGCGTTAATTATGGCGAATTTTGTCTCCTCTTAGCTGACTGATCGAGCAGAACTGCTGGAGGAGATGCGTGAGAAGATGCCCGCTTTTGGCGGCCCTCGGACACCATTCTATGAGGACAGCGAAATGCCCTTGAAGACGAGGGAGGCAATTCGCGAACTCAAGCGGATAAAGCGAGCGAAAACACCCCACAGTAAGGTATTGCGGCGCCCAACACGATGGAGATAAAGTGTGCCAATTGACTGCACTTTCCTACCTAAATAAAAACGCTATATTCCTCCGCTTCGCACATTGCAATCGCGCATACGGCAAAGGAGGGCTCTTCATGACAGCCAAACAAGAAGCAGACTTTATTGCTAAAAAGTGTTTCTAACCTAGGAAAATTGAGCTTCAAATCAGATACAGTTTAACATCAAAAAATTAGGTGATGAATTTTCTACGTCGCGTCCTCCATCGTTTCGCCATCTAAGGCTTCAATTCCGATGGCATTGGTTGAGGTGGGTCGGAAATTGCGGCGATGAGGTTATCGATGGTGCGTTCAGCCATCAACCTTGAAGGGAAATGCAGGTTTAGGTGAGGATAAAGCAAAGATCAAAACATTTTCGGTGAAAGTTGGGTCCTACCGGCGAGTTTCCGAGGTTGCGCTCCCAATGTGTGGCAAGATGAAGCAGTTGGGAAGTTTGAGCAAAGGGGAGTCGGTGGGCAGAGGTTCGGGCACGGTGACGTCCAGACCCGCACCGA